TAGTACTTTAGTTTTATAGTAAAGTACTAGGTATTTAATAGGCTAGAGATAGAATAGCGTTATAGACTGTATAGTAAATTACTTATATAGACGCTATATAATAATATTAATAGCTAGGCGTGATAGTTCTATTAGGTAGAGCTAAGAATAAGCGCCCGTAGTTACTAATTTAAATATCTATTTAACTAGTTTTAATAAATACTAAGATTTTATTTTATAATAATATTCCTAAAAGGCTAGAGCTAATTAAAGTCTATAATAAGTTTTTTTTTCTAGCTATTTTATATTATTACAAATAATCTTAGCTATTAAATACTAGATAAACTATATAAGTAATATTTTTTTTAGCTAGTAAACTCTATTAGATATATAAATTTAAATACTATTTATATAAAAGATAAGTATATATATATATATATTAATAACGTTAATACTTTTATAACTTACTTACTAGGTACGTATAATAGAGTTAAATATAAATTAAAACTATTAGAGAATATAATTATTAGATTAGTACTAATATTAATTTTATTAATAAAGCTATTAAAGCTAAAGAACTAATAATAAAGTAAAGAAAGTTTTATAATAAGTTTTAGAGTAAGGAAAGTAAAATATAAATAAGTTAAATTCTCTAGTTCTCTAGTTAAGAGCTAAGTATTTATAGCTAAAAATAAAAAGAGTATAACAACCTTATTACTTAAAAAGACGCTACTAGCGCGTACTAATTGTAATAAGTAGATTACTATAATAGTTTTTACAAGTAGAGCTATAAATAGGCGCTTACGTGTAGTTTCTTATTTATATATTTCTATAATTAGTTTAAATAAATTCTAAAATTTTATTAAACTAAAAATTCTTAAAAGGCTAGAGCTAAACCACCTAATAGGTGAATAAACTAATTGATGGAAGATTCAATTTAATTTTAATCACTAAGTCTAACCTCTAGTATTTAGTGAAGTATAATCTTGCATTAATTTGATATTATAACGTTGTGAAAGTGGGTGGTATGGACTACTCAAAAGACCCTATGCCACTTTCGCTATCGGGTATGCTGCTAGCAAATGAATGGGTGAAATACTGCTGGAGCGAGCATCGGACGTTCCGGGCGTTGTGGACAGCTTCCCCAATATCATGGGACCAAATACGCCAGAATTAAACACATTGGTAGCGCTAAACAAATTCTGTGTCGGGATGCGGGCCGTACCAGCACTAGATCCTAAGCAGTAGCAAGGAGAATTTGACGTCGTCGATGTCGACGATATTGCGCCCCAATTCTTGTCTACGCCGTATGCTCATGGTCTCCTTAAATCCTTTTCTGTGTTCGACTATGTCAGCGAGAACAGATATTTGCTATCGAACCTCGTAGGCATGTAGACAGAGAACCTCGACAAGGTCGGCGTCCTACCGATGAGAGATTGGATGCAGAAAGCCAAGTCTTTGGGTATGCCGCCTGGTGTTGAGGCTACCTGGACTGGTAACAAAGTGTTCGTGTCAGCTGTACTGCACAAGGCACCGTAGGTGCTGAAGGGACTATGAATCGCAACCCGTTCAAGGGTGAGACAAAATTGCCTTCAGGATAGGCCATGAATTAATATACACGAACCTATAAAATGATGCCATTATTATTTGAAGAGGGTACCGCAAGATACCAACCCAATGCGAGAAAGGAGAGATAGAATTAGCTTCTAGAATACTACGCCTCTACAAACTTCGACTGCCGAAGGTATCAAAGAGCCAGTGTTGTGAATCAGTGATATCCATTCAATCCCAGATACCGGATTTTAGGTGACACGAAGTGTGGTGAATGTATTCATAAGGTCTGCCGAGTTAGATGTCCGGCACGGTTCGATACCAGACAACAAACTCAAGATTTCTACAATACACGCCATGGCCCACTCAGCAAACACTGTATAGAGATTTTTTTGATGAATCCAGACGGAATGTTTTCCCAAGCTAACGGATCTGATCGGATAATGGCTACAGTACGAACGTTAGGAGAACGAGATATCCGAGTCACTGCGGCAACCCTCCGCATCTTGGGAATGATTTCTCCCTGTGAGAATTTTCCTTGGGTCATGGTTTACCAAGGGGCATTACAACTTTGTACCACAGTTTTGCTGACATACATTATTGTAGTTAGCCAGCTTCAGCTGGCGTTCAGTAATTGCGATTCCGTCTCCCTAGCCAACAAAAGAGAAAGGCAATGTATATTCAAATGCCTGGATTTTGAGGGGAGGCCAGCGATAGCTTTTGAAGATCAGCTGTCTTTCACATGCGAGAGGACCACAAGTGGATCATTGGTAATTGGCGGGACGATCGAACCATGTTTGGAGCGGTTCAAGTACAAAAGGAATAGCTTCCTCAGCGGGTAAGACTGAAAAGAAACCATCGTTTCCATCATCTCCTGAATAGCCTCCTCAAGTGCTGGCTTTCGTTTTGTTCGTATTATCCCATTTCGGGGCCAAGCTAGTGAGGGCACTGATGGAGCAGGATGCGATAGTAATTGCGAAGGCAACCTTGATGCCCCCAGCGTACGCACTGATGACGCCGTCCAGCTCAGCTTTGTAGAATACCCGACGCAGGGCTGTAGCACCCGTAGATATGATTTGGGAGTGGCCGACATATGGTGCGGTACTATGAAGCTTGCGCAAGAGCTGGTTATCGAAGCCGGACTGTGCGGCTGCGATCGTGAACGTAGCATCTACAGATCGAGCGAATGTTCGCGAAAGATACAGTTATCTTCGGAATATAAGAGAACAAAGACAGACGACAAAATCACCTAAAATCAAGTGGGGGAAGACTTACAAATAATTGTGCCGGTCACAGGAGCGATGTCGGTCGGTGCGGCGAAAGCTGGCACAATGACGAGCGGGATCTGGAGGCCCATGCCGTATCCAAAGCCCACCAATATCTGGTATCCAACCCATTTTCCTGTCGATGTTCCGATATCAAGTGTGTACAACAGGCTGGCGGAGATGGTCACAACCACAGAGCTAGCCATGAGAATTGAGGTAGCGATACCTGTCTTTGACATGGTTTTACCACAGCCAAATGGGGCAATGCTGGAAAAGCCGATGAGAGAAATGTTGCACACGCTAGAGCTAATTGCACTACGGTTATCGACGCTTTGGGAATAGATAGAAGATCGTGATGAATTACAAGCCGGCAAAGGAAAAACCCATACAGAATTGACCCAGACCGTCCGTTGACGCATGAGACGTGGGATCCTCATTGCGCGCTCACCTTGCCATATTTCTACGATGATGAATGCAATAACCATGAGACTAAAGCCAACGAGTAAGCTGATGATGAGACTGGACTTCCAAGGATGTGTTATCCCACCGTACTGAAGAGCTTGAAGCAAGCAGAGGGATTCTCTCATCACAAGCGCAGTTCCCGGGAAGTCCATTTGTAGAATCTTCTCCTTGTGTGTGGCTTGCACTCGCGGAGCGGCTGAAGGAGTCTTGAAGGAGATCAAAATGGACCCCGCCACCAGACCGCCAATTGGAAGGTTGATATGGAAGCACTTACATTTGACATGGGGGTTAGCTCCTGACATGACTGAAGCCAACGTGAGAACGTCTTTACTCATCATCTCCAGGACATCACGTCTGTAAGACCTCCACCGATAAATGGTCTAGCGATAGCGGCAGAACTTACCTGATACAGAGCACAGAGGGTGATACTGAGCAAGAGGGCGAGTATGATGAAGAACATGTGAAGATCCTTTGGATATTTAACAGCTTTTGCCGGCTACTCTGCAGCTTTTTCTCCAGTAGCTCAACTATCGTCTCCGGGAGTTTCCAGTTGGCCACTGCCATTGGCAGTCGAGCATACTATAGTGGTCAGTCCATTTGACTCAACAGTTTGCTTTTCCATATCAGGTTGGGCCTGATGCGGTTTCTCTTCGAACTTGTTGTTGAGCTTTCCATGCTCTGACAAGCGTGGTAGGTTTGTTGATTCAGCCATGTGTGATTGTCGTATGGCTCGACTGTTCCGACTTGCTATGCGAATCTGTGGGCTTTCGATGTGCCACTCCGAAGTGAACGGTGTATGATTAGGTTGTGTAAATACGCTGAAGTGCAGAGATGGAACCAAGGGATAGGATCAAATTGTACCAAGGCTACATCGACACGTGATACGGAAGTAACGGTCGGGGATAATTTTCAGAAGAAAATACCCGAACAGTTGCATGCCTACTCTCCTTTATTTATAGTTCTTGGCGCTCGTTTTCCATTCTGTCGAGTGGTTGTACCACGAAGCTAACCCCGATTCTATGCGCTATTATGTCTGTAAGCTAGTTAGTAACTCCGTTCTTTCGCGTTAACGCCGCTGTTCTCGAAAGTTATAGCGACGTTGCCGCCAAATTCTTCTATAAGGACAAGCCTACACTGGCTATCGAGGTACTCATATCGTGACTTTGCGATTTTTTGCCAACTGTTGCATAAATATCCTCCTTAATTATACATCAACATGATGAACGGATCACCTGGGTGACGCGACGATGGTCAAGGTGTAGGTTTGCCAGGCCTGATCGCCACAAGTAGAATAGCCTATCTTCTCAATACATACTGTCTGTATGCGGCTACATTAGCCTTTGTGTATCGAGTTTGACTCGTCCTCTAGTTAGGATTACGAGCCCCCCACGCGGCGACACTCTCCGACGCGCCGATAAGTACAGAACAAGTTGACCTCTGCCTACTGATAATGGCTCGTTAGTCAACTGGCAAGCTTTTTCGATGTGGAAGCTTTCCCTCTCCAATCTACATCAGGCCAACTACAAGAGTTACCACCTTGCCTACGAAGGTAAGAACATAGGACTAGGGATTTACGGCTTGATTTTGCATACCGGATCCTGTCCTATTACTCTTATCCTGTTGCCAGCCTAAATTTGCAGGCTGGGGTGACGATCCAGGACGCGTAGCACAGGGGAATTGAATCAAATTGCGCAACGATGATGACGGCCTCATCCATCAACTGAACTAGGTCGAGGCCTCTTGCAGTCAGAGCACTATCCCATCACCTGTTGCAAGGTGGCGCGCAGATTATATGATTCTGGGGAGTCAACAGGGCGTAATCCGCTAACAAGCATGGTTGCTTCACATGGGATTCTTGTATCGGTAGATAAGCATACACGCCTAGAACTGTTACCAAGCGGGAACACTTGGCTGACTTTTCGCTCCATCATGATTATTCAACGACACCAAAGCAGACTTGCTCGGTATTAGCAGTCCTCAGTGTCTTCCACTCAGGAGTCAAGTTTGTTTATGACCAGCAAAAGGTACGAACACTCTCAAATATATGTAGTAGTAGTCTTGATATCCTCGGCAATCCTCTCGATCTTCCCCTCGATATCCAGCCGCTCCAACGCCGACACTGCGCGCCCGGTGATGGTCCCCGCGACCGGCAGGATGCGCAGGGGTGTCAGCACCAGCGGGAAGTTTTTCAGCGTGTCACAGATGTTGATGAGCTTGTTGGTCGTGTCAATCCCGCGGTTAATTTACTTCTGCTTTAGGCTCTCCAGCGTCAGGGAGAGCTCCTCGATATGCGGGTGTACCTTCCCAATCTTTGTCTCTACTTGCTGGATGCTGGTCTTTATTTTGATAATGGCTGTGCTGGCCTTGGATGCGGGCGCAGGGTTTTCGGGGTTGCCCATCTTGGTGTCTGGTAATGGGTGACTCTAGGAGGGCTACTCGGGAGGATGCTGCAAGAACAGACACACCTTTCCAGCGAGACACCACTTCAGAGTCAAGGAGTTCTTAGGGCTCACATGGTGCTGCTAGAGCTCGTCTTATGTATGAGGGATCATGAAATGATGTTTAAGGCTGGTTTCACGCAATGAATGTAGTTCAAGAGAATGGAGAAGAAATGCAATCTTTTCAAGGCACGAAAATAATAGATAGTAGGCAAACAGTACAGATGGATTAGCTGGGCCTAGCTATTGTAGAACCATAGCTAGCTATTGTCAATAGCTTAGTTAGTAGTTAAATTACCAAGTAGGTAGCTTATCTAGCATGTAACTTACCAAGCAGCTATTTAAAAAAAAGTAAAGAGAAATGCAAGGAAAGATATAAAAGGAGGGAACAATGGAAAGTTGATCCACTTCGCCCGCTATAGGCACCGAAGGAGCGTGGCTTACAGAACAAGCTCAGATTTGAGCATAGAAACAGGTAAGCTTGGGATTTGCGCAATCATCTCCTGTAATTGAGATTAGCCATCAAGTAGCAGCCAAGTCGCAGAAGAGGCAGATGACTTCCGTACTCACTGCAGCATGCATCTTGGTGGCTGGCGGACCTCTTGCCGGTCGTTAACATGGCATTCCAATTTTTTTGCATCTCAGCTGTACTAGCTGAAAACCCTTGGGCTTGAGTATAGGTTTTCTGTATTTCTGCCGAAGCAGAAGCTCCCTCGATTGAGCTCGTCGTCTGCATCTCTTTCCTATGTAAGACAGACTTTGTAATCTCAAAGTTGAGAAAACTGGATGGATTATAGGTTCAGTTCTAAAAAGAAAAAAGATTATTTGTATCTGTACTACTAGTGAAGGCTATATGTGGGATCAAGAAGGCTAAAAGAACCACACCAAACTCCCATGTCAAAATCTTGAAGAACTAATGACGGATTTCCTTGCGCCGAGATGATGCCCTGGTATCATGATGTAGACAAGAAGAAAAGGAACAAGTTGCCCAGAGCGGTGTGCTCATTGGTGGTCACTAGGTCGGGAAGACTTTGCGAAGAATGCGCCTCCATTTTGGAAGATTTTGCTCGTCGTCTTCATCGCTGGCGGGTGCCTGGTCAGGGCCAAGCATGGCCAGAGCCCTTTGTCGAGCCCATTCTCTGCGACTTTGCGCAGGATCGCAGTTTTGAGATTGTTGTGAAGATGATGGGTTGGCCGTCAGATGTGGTGGTAGAGGGTCTGGTGACGACGTCATTGCCATTTCAATATCACTCGGTCGAGACTGCGTTCGGTGTGGTGCGCTAAAGATTCTGCGTCCTGTGATGGCTCCGCCTATTCGGCTACCGAGTGATGCCTGAGCCATGGGGGGTCGAGCAGGCGAAGGCGGTGAGGCTGATGGGTCCAGATTCATAGCGGTAGTTGAGCTTGGTTGGGGGTTCCCTGCACGGGCACTACGCGCCCGGATGCGATTGATGTGCCGCTCCCGCCGGACCATGATGTTTGTGATCTTGACTGGACACACACCCGTGGGCAACACGCTCCGCTTGCACATGGGGCACAATGATGAATGGCCAAGTAGAAAGGGATCGATGCACTCGGGATGAAAAATGTGGTGGCAAGGGAGCTCTCGCACTTGAGATTGATTTGGCTCGAAGTCGTCCATGCAGATGGGACAAGTGGGCTGGGACCAAGCAGTGGACATGGGCGACTTTGGTAGTTCAGGGGCAGACGAGCGGCGAGCCAGAGTGGGTTTGTGACCAGTTTCGGCATTTGCAGCAGAAGATGGACCGACGTTTGGTGGAACGAGGGGTTCGGGGTCTGCCTTTTCCGAATGAGTCGAACTATTTCCCGAAAACGTGTGGATTGGTAGCTTGTCGAGCACTTGTTGTGACACATTGAGACGCTTTACGCCGAGTGCTTCGAGGTCGACCTGGCCGTTGAGAACGCGCTGGCGAAGATTGTTGCGTCGTCTCCGCTGGATGATGTGCATAACGACAGAGGTGAAGCTGACAGCAGCGAGCAGGATGGCCAGTACGATGACAAGGAAGACCCAGAGACTGGGAAGCTGGCTGGTAGTGTCTGTGTAGAGTGTTAGTGCAGTCGAGGCAAAGAGGCAGTGGCTACTGACCTGTGCCGATGTTTGCCCAGAGGCGGATGTAGTCTGTCTTGTCGTAGAGTTGGGACAGTTGATCTGCGTGGGGTACTTGGCTCAGGTTTCCGGAGTAGAGGTTGAGCTGGTCCATGATGTTGGATCCAGTCATGGAGGAAACAGCGTAGGTGGGAAAGTTGTTGAGCGACTGCCAGCTTCCGCCATCCTCGAGGTTCCAGGCGGCGTCGTTGAGCACGGGGGGCTTTGCATTGCTATCGCCGGGCAGGTAGGTGATGAAGGCTTTGGTCGCGTGCTTGCGGGCCTCGGTGAAGTACTCGATGGTGCATTGGGGCGAGTACCAAGGCGCAACGGCGACGAGGGCGTAGTCCTTGTCATTTGGCAGGTTTTGTAGGCGCGTGGCGTTTGCAGGAACGTACTGGGCCTGGGCGTCTTTGCAGCCTGAAGAGGAGACCTGGGGAACATAGAGGAGGCCAAAGGGATCCTGGTCCGGGTCGATGCCCTTGGTGGAGAGGGTCTGGATGTTGTTGAGGATGTTGTAGCGGAAGCCAAGGGACTCGTTGACCGACTGGAACTGGTTGTTGTCGTAGTCGATGAAGTGAGGGTCGGGGAAGTCGATGGTGAGGATTGCAATGCGTTGGGCGGCTGTGTCGTGGCGTGGCAGTCAGCAGGTGGGCTGCAGTGGGGAGTGAGCAGCAAGCGGGTGTGACGTACACATGGTGGAAGGCGCAACAGGGGCGTCGCTAGCATGCACCGGCTACACTAGACGACACGACTGCAGAACATGCTGAGCGCGACGAGGGCGAGGATGGCGACGAGGGCGACGACAGAGCGGAGAGGGCGGAAGCGAGGCAGATGGCGTGCACGTCGTCGGGGCAGTCAGCGGCGGCCGTGGTGACGAATGCAGATGCCCTCGCGCCAGCCGTGGCTAGAGAGCGGAGGGAGAGGCTGGTGAGCACAGCCGCGCCGCCCGTGCCGAGTTCAGAAACGCCGAAGCCGGCCCATCTGGTGCTATTCTTACTCGCTACGCCGGCGCATGCGACGACTCTGCTGCCCCAGTGCCTGGATGGTTGCGTATGCATCCATGCCGGCACATGTCCAGCACCAAGCCAGTCGCTGCCCACGCCCGCCGCCGACGCCGGCTGGCGACAAGAGGCATGCATGGCCTGGGTGTGTGTGTGTGTGGATATATGCATGCATGCATGTACACAATACTACGGACACTACATGGCAGGCGTGTGTGGTGTGGTGGCTGCCCCAACCACCCCTGAGGCGCAGCTGGCCAGCACGGGCAGCACCAGCCACAGCGACCAACCACACCACGCCCGCCCACACGCGACGCCATCGCCGCCCTGCCCGCGCAGCCATGGCCATGACGGCGGCGCCCGCAACCACAACCACTCCGCCAGCGCTGCCGCCCCCCGCGCGTTCCCCCGGCCCTCGTCGCTGGTCTTGATGCTCGTGCTGATCCCTCCGTCCAGCCATCGCCATCGCCCTCGATCCACCGCCCGCCCGACATGGCGCCCACCAACCTCAGCGGCAAGGCCAAGGCCACAAAACCCGGCTCCAAGCCTTCACACACTCCCCGCAGCCGCAACACCACTCCGCTGCCCAATGTGCGCGCCTCGGTCGAGCCCTCGTCGGCCTCGTCGCTCTTTGGCGGCCGCCTCACCTCGTACCTGAAAAAGTGCCCCGTCACCGTCGAAGAGATTCTCGAGACGGCCGGCAATGGCGCCCACATTCCCTCGGGCAAGCAGCTGCTGACCATGCGCGACAACATCGAGAAGACGGTGCTCAAAAATGTAGAGTCGCGCTGCGTCCAGTCAGAAGGCGCCCTGAGGGAGCTCATGAGCCTCAAGAAGAGCCGCGCCCCGCGTGACCGAGAAAAGGATAAGGCAGCCGACGACCGCGATCGCAAGCACAAGCTCAAAAAGCTCAACTCCAAGCACGACGACAATGGAAAACACCCCCCCGCAGTCGGCGCCCACGGCCTCACCAGGCAGGACGGAGGTGACAAAGGCAAGTCTGCAGCTCCAACCTTAAGCCTCTTCGCCCTCTTCTTTGTCTTCTTTTTCTTGAACACCTCGGTGCCATTTCACGCCCTTTCTTCTTACCTGGCCTGCATTACACTCCCCCGGCCATGCGCTCCAACAGCTCGCTAACTCAACCACCAGACAACTCGTCAGCAATATCCTCTCCCGTCTCACAAGCACCACCCTCGGCTGCTGGCACAGGCCCACCAGACGCCCCTTCACCCAGCGCCTCTGACGTCTCCCACCAACCCGCCCCCGCCCCTGCCGTACCACAGTTCCAGACCTTTGGGCCCGACCCCGCCAAGTTCGATGACCCTACCATATATCATATCCGAGAGGTGACTCCGGGCATGTCGATAGAAGAGAAGAAGGAAATCTACTGCGTTGCTCAATTTCCCGTCACCGACCTGCGCGACAAGATTGCCGGCTCGCCCCCAGACAAGGACTTTTCCAATGCGAAGCCGCCATCACAGGTCAACGCCACGGTATTTGCCAATTACGTCGAGCCCTACATCAGGCCCCTGACAGAAGAAGATGTTGCTTTCCTAAAGGAACGAGGGGACCGGGTAGCGCCCTTTGTGTTGCCCAGACGTGGGCCGCGACATTACAAGGAGATTTGGGCCGAAGAAGACGGATCCATGCACATTGACTCGAATGACCAGCGGCCACCTCCCAACGTCCCGCGTGCTTCAGCTGAAGACATATCAGACGACGTGCTGGAAACAGACCAGGTCTCAGCCGGCCCTCTACTGTCCCGTCTGCTGGCCACATTACGACCGGAAGGACGGGGCAGCCAGAACAGCCAGAACGAGACAAACGGCATTGGCGGAGATGCCATGGACATTGACGAGGGCGCAGGCGCACCGCCAGACATGAGCAACACCAACTCTATTGCTGCTGCAACCCAACTCCCGGATCTCGTTCAGCCTGGATGGAAACCCCCAGTCCAAGGTGCACGCACCGACTTTGTGGGCATGGAGGATCGTATACTCATGGAACTCAAGCATTATGGCTTCATTTCTGAAACAGACGCCGAAGCTCAGTCATACGATTCTCATTTTGACGATGAAGTCGCGCAGCGACTGCGCTTTCTGCAGGAAGAGCTCCGCAAACAATCCATCATCAATGGCGCGCGAAAACAGCGACTCCTAGAGCTCACAGAAGAGCGCATCGCCCAACAGGAGTACAACACCATAGCCGACGACCTGGACAACCAGTTGAATGCAGCATATCTTAAGCGCAATCGCAATCTTGGCAAAGGCAAGAAACAAAACAAGCGCCCGGGCGGTGCAGGTGGTGGCAGCCATCCTGTCGCCAACGCTGGCATCTCGAGGCCAGGCGTTGGTGAGCCAATCCGAACGCTCATGGAGAGGAGAACACAATGGCTCAACACCATCGGGCCCGTAGTCAACTACGGCAAAACTGGTCTACCTACCGAAACCATTTTTGGCGAGGACAAGATGAAGGAACTGGAGAATAGAGAGGTGGAGATTTGGAACACCGAGGCAGAAGAGTAGCTGTTGATACTCTACCAGGCATTTTATCGGCGGGTCTGCCCTGGCGTTCATCTGTTGTTCTAGGCCGCACTGCAGATTCAGCTCTTGTATGTATACGAGCATTTGGCTTAACACGAGGCGTTTGCTGGCAGGTTAATGTTACCATAAGATCCATCCCAACATGACGCACTGCGCTACGAACACGTTTACTCTCTCTCTTATCTTCTCTCGCTCCTCCGGCTAGTCCTGCCCTGGATGGTGGCGTGTGCAATATGTATGGTAACGTTTAGGCGCATACTCTAACCCTTGGCAACAGTGGCGTGTCACATGTCGTGGCGTCCGGGTCCATTTACCCAGCCCGCATATTCGAGAACCGCCACTGAACGGTTTTTGCCCCTCACAACCTTGCACACCAAAGTCCGTGGACCCAACGATTTTAGGTAATTCTTTTGTCATGTTCCCATGTCGCAATTGTGCTGACAGCACACGCACCATGCGCAGGGCCATTGATGAAGAATACGAACTCTAGACCAATGCAGTACTCGAACCATTGCTGGAAAAGAGAAAAGACCAAAAAAAAGTTTAATGATCCCTCACGCTCGCTAAAGCAAACCAAATGTTTCCCCAGAAACAGCCCAGCCCGCAATCTACCGTTCCGTCTCCGTGTGGTGACCTCGACCGGGTCTTTCAATCTATTATATTGGAGACTCTCGCCTATCTAGCATGCTGCAATTCACCTCGAGGCCAAACACAGGTAGTCTCGCTCTTTATTGCAGCAAAGTTTGCTCGAGAAGCCAACAGTTCCAGAGCGACGGCTACCCTGCGTTCAGCCCATGCAGCTTCCCATTTTCTCCTCGGCCTGTCTCCCGTGTCTACAAGTCTACAAGTAATATCGACGAGCACAGCTTCATATCGCACGCATGGCAACCATGCCTGGTTCGTTACTGTCTCCGAGGCGGCAGCACAGCAGCTGAATGAAGCCACCAACTACAGCCAACGATTGGCCATCTTGTCTCGAGCTTGTTGTATGTGGTTCCCAATCAGCTGCGTTTTTCTGCATTGCGCAGGGGGCAGGTGATTGATGTTAGCACAGAACTATCTTGAGACTAAAACTATGTAGCGTTGCACCATCTGGGGTTCTAGGTCTCTCTTACTCTGTAACCCGTGGCAACATATAAACCATGTATGCCCATGATCTGACATTGTGAATATTACCTTTTTTTTTGCCATCTCATAGCAGCTTTCACTCTGAGTTGACCGCCTTTTAATACATTTTTTACTTTGAAGCAACTCACTCATCATGAAGTGCACATTGGCTACCCTTGTGCTTGCGGCTGTCACAGCCGCTGCACCAACATACCAAGCTCCAGATTCCTTCAAGATCACTAGTGTTGTATCTGGCGGCTCGGGATGTCCTCAAGGCAGCATTGACATTGACTGGACTCAGCAAGGCATTCTGCCCATCTGTACGTCCTCTCTCATGTTCATCTTCCCCAACCAACCAACCCCCCCCACTCCTTGGTTGGGCATGTATGCTGACCCACAAAACCCAACAGACTTCAACAAACAATTCACCGCACGCGTAGGCAGCGGCAAAGGTCCCGAAGAGTCACGAAAGAACTGCCAAATCAACCTCGGTCTCGAGTTCAGCCCTGGCTTCTCCTTTGCCGTCTTCAGCGCCGACTACTCTGGATGGGGCGAGCTTGACACTGGCGTCACGGGCGTTGTAAAGTCAACCTACTACTTTTCCGGCGAGCAAGACCAAACCTCGTCGGCCCTCGTCATCGCCGGTCCGTTCAACGGCAAATACTACAAACAGGACAACGTGCCGGCAGCAGTCTGGTCACCCTGCGGCAAGGACGCCATGTTCAACATCAACAGCGAGGTTGCGCTGACGCCGTTTGCCACGCCTGCTAATGGCGTGCTTGCTGCAACCAACGAGTCTGGCAGGTTTACGTCCAATTTGTACATTCAGTGGAAGAAGTGCTAAGCTTGGTATACTGTTATCATGGGAGTTGATGGACTGGTGTTTTGATTTACTTGGTAGAACCTGGTCGTTTTCTGTTTGAAAACCGTGTCATGTACAACCGGTTTTTCATATGAAAAAAAAACATATGTTTCTGTTACACATACATCCAGATACTACGAGTTCTTTAACCTTGCACCATGCAATGTCATGTGTCGCTTGCCATTCTCCATCGCCTTCGCATCACCTTTGTATCACCTGCTCGCCTCTCGCTCTTGATCCCTCCTCCTATTTGCCGGTAAGCTCACTCTACCCAACAAATCCTGCTCCCACTGCTCGCGCTCCAGCCTCGCCTGCTCCTCCTTTTCCTTCTCCTCGTCCCTCAACCGCTTCCTCACTTCCATTAGCGCCTTCCCCAGTAGGTTCTCGCCCCAAAACTCGCGATTCAGCATGGCATCTGCCTGCTTGAATCCGATGCCCCACACACGGTCAAACGGACTCGCCTCGATCAGCTCGCGTTCGCCAGTTGCAAGCAGCATACCCCGCAGGCGCTCTGCATGTCGGCCAATAGTAAACTTGTAATATGATGCCTGCACAACGACGTCGAATTTATCTATTTCAATACCCATCCCTTGATCAGTTCTCCCTGGTGACGACAAAGAAAAAAAAGGCGAGATGATGGGAAACCAGGAAAACGTACGCTTATCCCAGACAGCCTGATCAAAGCCTTGCACCTTGCGCCCTAGTCCCTTGTGTTTGCGTGCATCGGTTGTTCGGACCATTTTTTGTACCGTCTCGTCGTCGTTGAACAGCAGCGCTTTTTGAATCATCATGTACATTTCGCATGTCGCATACGTGGTGTCTGAGACGGTGAAGGGTGAGGCGTACCATTGGCAGAGGTAGCCATTGCTTTCGCCTTGTTTCCAGAAAAACACGGGTTCATCAGAGCATGGGGCGTCGGCCTGCGATAGTTCTGACATAGTTTCTCCCTCTCTCTTTCGCTGCTCGATGGTTACGTTGCTGTGTTGACCAAGGTGGGTGTTATTAAAGGTGTTGTTTCAAGTATCTGAAGACAAGATACAAGTTAGGCATGGAAATTCACAGGGAAGTCTTTATCCAACCAAGGTAGTCTGCTTGTGATGTGACTCAGGTATTGGGTGCCTTTTGCTTGGTTACTGTTCTGTTTTTAGCATAATGCCTAGTATTGAACCGTGGGTCAAATCTAGTTACGCCCTTATTTTTCTTATTTCTGCACTTCGTTTACCAGAATTTCTGTAGTTTCGAGTCGGGGCAGCCTTGCAGTCTGAGTCGTATTAGGCTGGTGTTCTAGGGTGATGTTACAACATTTAATCCAGCAATAGACGATCGGCTCCCAGTCTTGTGTGCAATACAATTATAGGCATGAGATTACGTGCTAGGTGTTTAGAGCCCTTATATGTGGGTGCAATGAACGACCGTTTGTTTTTCAGGGCCCAAGTTGGTGAGTCATTTCGCGAAAGGGCGCAAGGCAGTCAACCGATAGACCGTACTTGAGGGCTTGCGATTCGGCTTGTTCATTATCACATTCATGGAGCGAGCCTCTATTGACAACCAAAGTGCAAAACGCTCAGATGCAACCAGAGCCATATGACTGCTAAAATCACAACATCATAAGGTGTTATCGAGTCGCTATACGAAAAGACATGCACCTGTGCACGTGACTATGGTTTTCGCCATAGCCGATGGTCCCGGAGCGTGAAATCGAAGTTGCATTCTGCTTGCGTATGAAAGAGCATCGGAACATTCACAACGCCAGATTTTGTCATGGCATGTATGCTTGACCATGAAAACAACAAGTTCTATGGGCGCAGCCATGAGTCTTGACTCGAAGAAGGCGACAAATTTATAGCCAGACTAGCCGGCTCTCGGTAACGAGCAAATCCTTGGGCCCGAGCTTACCCAAGTCCTACTGCAAGTAACCCAGATGACAAATACCACACGTTCAAGGACGCCCGGCAGGTGCTGACACCCACATGGTATGCTTGGAAAGTAATGTCTTTTGGACAAGACCTCCCTCAGCTGAAACAACTTTGTCAAAAGTCTACTCGCCTTGGTCGCCTGTGCTCGTGTGCGCGTTGTTCCACGAGTTATGGAGCGTGGAGCCCGCCAAGGGTGAAGCCCCATCTGGTCGCAACGGTAACCCTATCAACGTGCCTTTATCAGGCGACAGCCGCGGCTCGAAGTACAGAGTTGAGACCATATAGTGGTAGTAGTTGTGTGGCCAGTCTGAAAAGGGTACAGGGTAGTAGGGAAGCAAAGAATTTGGTCCGCACCAGGCCGTCCGTGCTAAACCGGATTGCGCTTCGTCAACCGCTCATCACGACGCTGCTGGCAGAGACACGGAACGCATGACTCGACACCAGAGACAGATGTCCACTTTTGCAGACCGCCGAAAGCACGCCAGGCGGGGCAAAGATACTGTAGGACAGAGGAGGGATGGATACACAACTTGGCAGAGTTGCCTCTACAAAGACGCCTCAGCAATGGCGATGTGGGTGGTTTCTGTCGGCAACACTCATTCGTCCTCGTGGTGAGCGCTATTTGTTCCTGTAATAATAGATCGAGTTAGCGTCTAATACTGTTTTTCTATTGTATTATTCGCAGAACACATCTCAGTGGCGTTCCTCTCTATTATAGGAAATACATTTTGCGGTTGGCTGCTTTAAAGCTAGAAGCAAGAGTATGAATATCTAGCTATATGAAACTACTTGGTTAAAGATGCTAGCTGCGATACTTAGTGCGAGAGAGAGGTACAAGAATTTTATATTTTCGCAGCTCTGTTAACACCGAGGGGCTAAGCGAGCTGGAAAAGGGAAAATAACAAGGCTAAGGTTTATTCCTAAGAGTAGCGCAAGCGCCAAAGCCCATGACAGGGACAAATGACGCTCACCACAGGGACGAATAACTCGAGTGGGTTTCTGTCCTGTGGCCGGACAGCGAGATATACTGCATTTGTCAGAATCCCGAGAACAGGTCCAGATGCGGGGGCGCGAGTGTAAAGAGTCGATATCGGGGTACCTCGGCAGATGGCGGATGGTGGTGGTGCACAGGGGTGAAGAGTGCACGACGGAGGTGAAGGAGGGCGGGCAGCAGGTGAGGGGCAGGTGGGATGATGCAAGCATGCAAGCCTAGACTGGTACTTGCCCCGCGATTCTGCGGCTGCAAGTGGGGCAGCCGCGTCGCAAGGTCGCTGCCAAGCCAGGCCGAAAACCACCAAACCCACCGCGACACTCCACCAGCTGCCGGGCCACTTACCGAGCATGGTTGCCAGACCAGAGGCCGAGTCTACGCGGCCGCAAGGCCAAGGGCCTATGCTGTTCCAATGCAGACTTAAGTACAAACCTTGATCTCCTCAAGGCCTCGCCTAGTCCTTCACGTTCCCGCCCACATACCCCCATTCCAAAAGTCCTCTATCCGCCGCCATAATGTCTCCAGGCAAGGTTTCCACGCTTGATTTCGAAAAGTTCTACAACATTGTCGACGGCCAGCAGCGCGGCTCCGGCCAGGTTCACCACGGCGTCAATCCCGCCACAGGCCAGGAGCTGTGGGATGTGCCCGTTGGCAGCGAGAAGGATCTCGACGACGCTGTTGCCTCGGCCAAGAAGGCCTTTCCAGCATGGAGGGATACTGCTGTTGAGGAGAGGAAAGCCTTGCTGGCCAAGGTCATGGAGTCGTTCCAACAGCACAATGACGAGTTCGTCAACCTGCTATGCAAGGAGTCTGGAAAGCCGGTACGTACCTGGATAGTTGAGCGCGCGACCGTGTTTGATTAGCAATGTGCTGACAACGAGATAGAGGAAGTGGTCTGCTTTTGAAGTTGGTTCCGTTGCCGGTTTCATCGGCCACCACCTTACGCTCAATCTGCCCACCGAGAAGCTCGAGGACAACGAGAAGACCGTCTACACCGAGTACTCGCCGCTTGGCGTCTGCGGTGCCATCTGCCCTTGGAACTTTCCCTTGATCTTGATGGTCGGAAAGGTCGCACCCGCGCTCATGACAGGAAACTGTATGATTGTCAAGCCATCGCCCTTTACACCCTACACTGCTCTCAAGTTTGTTGAGCTTGCCCAAGATATTCTTCCACCCGGCGTTCTCCAAGTGGTTGGTGGCAACAATGAACTCGGTGTCCAGATGTGTTTGCATCCTGGTATCGCCAAGATCAGCTTTACCGGCTCTATCGCGACTGGAAAGAAGGTCATGGAGACATGCGCAAAGACGCTCAAGCGTGTCACGCTCGAGCTGGGAGGAAACGATGCATCCATTGTCCTGCCCGATGTGGATATTAAGAAGGTCGCACCAGAGGTTGTCATGGGTGCTTTCCAGAACTCTGGCCAAGTCTGCGTTGCCACGAAGCGAATCTACATCCACGAGTCCATCTACAAGGAGTTCCTCCAAGAGATGGTCAACTTTACCAAACAAATCAAGGTTGGAAGCCCAGACGACGGCGACAACATGCTGGGACCTGTCCAGAACCAAATGCAATATGAGCGCGTCAAGGGCTTCTTCGAGGACAGCAAGTCCAAGGGCTACAATTTCGCCGTTGGTGAGCCCGATGTCGCTCCTAGCAAGGGATTCTTCATTACACCCACCATCATCGACAACCCGCCTAACGACTCTCGTATTATTCAGGAAGAGCCATTCGGCCCTATCGTTCCTACACAGCCATGGTCAGATCTGGAAGAGGTGATTGCGCGGGCCAACGACACAAACACTGGCCTTGGCGCCTGCGTGTGGGGTAAGGACGTGGAAAAGGCAAGCAAGATTGCACGACGCTTGGAAGCGGGCTCCGTGTTTGTCAATTCGTTCGAGAAGCCCACGCCCCAGGCCCTGTTTGGCGGCCACAAGGAGTCTGGCATTGGTAGCGAGTGGGGAACGACAGGTCTGCTGGCATACTGCAACCCCCATGTCATTCATGTATACAAGTCGTAGAAGCGCAAACCTTAATCAGTGGTGCGAGGCAGGTCTTAGATTGAATGTAAGCATCAATTGACAAGAGTGAAAAGCTTAACGGCATCCAGCTTGCGCGCAATTCCCGTGCCGAAAGCAAGAAAGGTGGATGAAGCATTTCACCACCGGCCCCTAGCGCCCAAACACCCTGCAGGTACCGCGCCTAAATGAGGCTTTGCCCGGATTCAGTTTAGCGCCTCATTTAGATGAGACTCGGCTGCCGCTTCGCCGCCGGCAGGACTCAAGTAAGCACGCAGACGCACAGTCATCGTGTCCAACATCAGACTTTGTGAACTATGCAACGACGCGCTCGCACACCAGCTGCTTGCAATACTTGCCTACCATGGCGCCATGACGAGCTCGGGTTTTCATCTTCGAATTTGTCTACTTGCGCTATAGCCTTCCTCGGCTGCCTGCTCTCATCGCATGCCCCCTCATGCCGCAGTCTCCAACGTTGCAAATAGCGCTATCAAGCGCTTGCCGGTCTCGAGCGGGACGCATGGATCGCTGAAATGACTTCCCAGGATGGGTGGCGTTTCTACAGGTTTCATGAAACAATATGAGGAACCACTGGCCGAATTTCATCGACCCACGCCATGCTTGTTTCACCGAACACGGCATGGCACTCCATGCAAGTAATATGGAAAAGGTATAAGATGCAGAGTCAACCTGTCCTATATACACTCTCAACTATTTTCCTGCATTCTCATCCGACCCTCTCTATCTTTATTTGGAAGCGTGCTTCCGTGACATTCTTTTTCTTGTGTTTGTTGAAATAGCGTAGAAGCGAGCTTCTATCCTTTCCCTTCTTTTCTCTCCCAACTCGCCATTGCAATAACCCTCTACTCCAATCGAAACACAATCTACATACAGCAACAATGCATTTCCGGGATGCATCCATCTACATGGCTGTCGTTGGTTTGACCTCGACGACGGCTCTCGCTGCCTTGCCCCCTTATGCCCAGTGCGGCGGCGTCACCTACAAAGGTGACAGTGCCTGCGCTTCTGGCTGGCACTGCGTCAAGTACAACGACTGGTACAGCCAGTGTGTCCCTGGCGGAGAAGCTTCTCCTCCACCTGCCAACAGTCCTTCTGCTGCTCCCAGCTTGCCCAGCAAAGCCCCGGCTATGGAGCCTAACAGTACCGTACCTGTGGCTACCCCTGCTTCCTCGCCTGTCGACGACGAGTCCTGCGATGCTGATGAGGAGGGTGGTGATGCTAACACGGATGCAAATGAAGGGGATGACGAGTCCTGCGACGCCGATGAGGAGGGTGGCGATGCTGGCACCCAGGGAAGTGAGGGTGATGATGAGTCTTGTGAGGCTGATGACGAACCCGTTCCATCGCCATCTCCAGCTGCTAGCTCCGGTGGCAACACTGGTGTTACGCCCGCTGCTTCTCCTTCTCCTTCCCCAGCTGCCTCCCCTTCTTCGACTGCTACCTCCGCAAGCCTGTCTAGTGTTGAACCTACTACTTCTCCTTCCCCCTCTCCAGCTGCTGGCTCTGGCGGAAACAGTCCCGCTCCCAATGTTGCCGGCAGCGGCCGCAATGGCGCCAAATGCGATCTTGATGCTGCCTTCAAGGCCAAGGGCAAGAAATACGTTGGTGTTGCCACTGATCAATACCGTCTCAGCACTGGCAAGAACAAGGAGATCATTGTCGACAACTTTGGCTGTGTTACTCCTGAGAACAGCATGAAGTGGGATGCCACTGAGCCCAGCGAGGGCCAATTCACTCTCGATGGCGCTAATGCTCTCGTTTCTTTCGCCACCAGTAACGGCAAACTCATCCGCGGTCACACTACCGTATGGCACTCTCAGTTGGCTGCATGGGTTTCTCAGATCCGTGACAAGGCCAAGCTCGAAGAGGTCATGGTTAACCACATAAAGAAGCTCGTTGGTACCTATGCTGGCAAGATCTACGCCTGGGATGTTGTGAACGAAATCCTTGACGAGCAAGGTGGCTTCCGATCCAGTGTCTTCTACAACGTCCTTGGTGAAGGCTTCGTCTCCACCGCTTTCCACGCTGCCCGTCAGGCCGATCCCCTCGCTAAGCTCTACATCAACGACTACAACCTTGACGGCGCAAACTACGCCAAGACAAAGGGCATGATTAGCCATGTAGAGAAGTGGATTGCCGACGGTGTTCCCATTGACGGAATCGGCTCCCAATCCCACATCAGCTCCCCCGGCACTCTTTTCCCCATCTCTGGTGTCCCTGCTGCTTTGAAAGCTCTCTGCGGTGCCGCCCCCGAGTGTGCCATAACTGAGTTGGATATCAACTACGGTAAGCCCGCCGATTGGGTCACCGTCTTCGATGGTTGTCTCGATATCAAAAACTGTGTCGGTATCACTGTTTGGGGTGTTTCTGACAAAGACTCTTGGATCGGTGCTGCCGGTGGACCTCTCCTGTTCGACAGCTCCTTCCAGGCTAAACCCTCTTACAATGAGCTTTGCTCTGCTCTTGCTTGAGCAGTCTAGATTTCTGTGTCTCGGGCCTCTTAGGCCTTTGGCATTTAGTGTATATAACCTTCTTTTCTCTCTCAACCTTGTATTTATTATCACCTTTCCTTGAATATAAAGCATTGCGCAATCAACCCGAAGCCACTATCTCCGCGTAGCAATATCGTGTACATTGTGAGATTTCGATATTGGTGATGCCATGTAAGATTTCAAAAATGATGACGATAGTGCCAACAACCAAGAGGATCAAAGCCCCGGAGAGTCAGCTTCGTATGCTTAATAGTCTGAAAGTATTAGAGAGGGTGAAAACGAAACAATACCCTAATTGCGTCATCGCTGAATAGAATCCCTCCCTGGCTCTATATGTTCTAATACAGTACTTTCTAAGAAGTACGTACGTCCCTACCACATTCCAAGGTAGAGCAACCCATTTGTTAACTTATAACTGCTGCTAACTTCGCCGGATAAAACAGAGTTAATTCACGTGTCATTTCAAGTCTGCTCTGTAGCAAGGCTCTTTTAAAACTTTAATCCCACAACCCAACGGTTAGGCTACCCAAGATTTTATTGGCTGGCTTTCATACAGGGGAGACAATATCGCCTATGAGTGCTCGATCATCTTTGAAGTGACTGCGTGGCGCGATGACGGATTTAGTTATCTAAATAGTTTATCGTTCAAGAGCTAAAGATTAGAAGTTAAATATAGTGGACTCAAAGAGGTCATAAATTCAATTAGGCAATTGTTGCATAGCATCTCAATCGCTTGAAGCTTTGTGGTAAGAGTATACCTTCGTTGGAGAGTGTCTATGGAGAAACATCTCGATATCTGCTGATAACTTGATAGGCATGAGATATGTAGAGTGAGGATTATAGATAAGAACCGAATGCAAACCCGGAAGTTGCAGTCGTGAGATTTGACTGTTCCCCTGGTAGTACAAGGCAGGCTTCGAGCCCAGCGACTCGTGTCGTTCATATATGCAACCTTCGGCATGTCAAGCTCTCATGTTGTGACACTTTACTTGGACTACATTCGATATGAATCTACCAAGATGGTCTAGAGAATTGTAATTAAATCCTTGGTGCGACCTATCCTGGCTTTCTCCAGACGCTAATACACACACATGAAGTCTTCGTTCTCCATGTCAGTCAGGTCTGAGAAATCATTGTCCTGCTCATGTGACTGGTTCTGTGCTTCAACTTCTCCACCCTTCTGCGATATTTTCTCTTTCTTTAGCATGCTCCCATCGATTCGAACAGCACTCTTGCCCATATCCATCCTCTTCTTTGCGTGCTGTTGGTTGAGAAACGCCAGATATCTAAGTATTAGCAATGCTATCACAGCTACCAAAGCGAATATTACGATGTTGGCAATGAGGCCAGGACCGTGAAGCGGCGCATCGTCTACGGAGTATAGTAGAGGGCCAATGACGTTACCGATGCACATTCTAATGAAGACGGTGGTTCAAGTGCATTTCTTCTTTGTATTGCCAGCGGTGTTTTAGACATGCCAGGCATAAATCAGAGGCGTGACGGCCGCAAGATAGGAAACTAGGTAGTAGCCGAGGAGCAAAACACCTTTGAGCTGATGCAGGAAAGTCAACATGATGATTGTTCCTACAATGGGAAGAATGGCTACCATAGCGATAGCGAGACCCTTGCGGCTTCCCAGCACAGCACCCCAGACAGAACCAACGATGCAAACAATTTGGATCACGCCAAATGAACTTTTGAAGAAAATAGACTGGAAGTTTGTGTATCCAAAGTCACGGATGATGAGATTGCCGAAAGTGGAAACGCTACCGCTGGTGATGTTGTCAAAATTGATCAGTAGTGTTCGTAAGAGCTACTGAGAAGAGAAAATATGGCTCACGAGATGGCAACGACGGCGATAAACCAGCACCCAGTTTTCAAGTCGACAAAAGTCTCCAATGTTTAATCCCACTTCGACTGCTCAGGTTGGATGCCCATCTGGTTGGCTCTCAGACGCTGGACAGCAATGAAGCGCTCTCTCTCATTCAGATATTTTGGCTTCATCGGACCGTCAGGAATCCATGACAAAAGCACGCATGAATAAGCCACAGTCAAGAGACCACAAAACATATAGATGCCCTGATACTTGTACAGGAGAATCGCTGTCGATATGCCCGAGGCCGTAGGTGAGAAGCGATCCGATAATGAAGGCGACGCCATTCATAGCGTTACAGCATCCAGTGCGAATTGTCTGCTCAGAGCGCCGCCACCACATAGTCGTGGTAGCGACACAAGCCGGCGCAATCATTGTTTTAAAAAAAGCCTAGGACGTAACGCAGTCCGAGAAGACTCGGAGAATCTGTACAAGCCGACATGAAGGCCAGACTGCTGCCCCATAGGAATATGGCTGCTGAACTGACTTTATCAGTAGGTAGTTTTACCAATAGATATGCAGCGAGTGGCTGCATGACCAATTGCGCGAGGCAGAGAACTGATACCAACTACGAGTACTCTCGCCTGACAAGGTTTGCATCTTTTTGGATGCCGAATATCGAGACGCAGGACCATGAAGACCTGTCAAGTTGCTGGAAGAAGTAGGCGCCAAGTGGAAGGGGAAGGACGCGATAGTCGATGCGTTTCAGCACCGCACGCTCCTCTTTGTAAGAAAAGGATGCATCTTCTACATGGGCATCAGCTAGAAATTCTGCGGCAGCATCGCCTTTTCTAGTAGTTTGAGTGGTTGCTGCGTGCTCGAGGTGTGTAATGTTATCGTCTTTGGGATCTTCAACCTGAGTAGTGGTGGCGATTTTCGAACACAGCATTGAAGATACGAGTATCTCCGCGGGGCAGTGAGTGAAAGGATTTAATCAACTACTTAAGACACAAAACAAGGATAGTAGCATTCCCCGCGCATGCTTTCCTTGTTACCCTGGATCATTCCTGGGCTACACTTCCCCATGGGGGTGGATTTTTTCAGGCGCTTACTTCAAACAAGAGTTCGCATGTAGCTTCTTTGGTTTTATCGGATATGATCTACATGCTGGCAGGTCATGGCTGTACAACTCGGACTATAACGCCCCGAAGATGGAGGGGCAATGCCGGAGGGGTGAGCCCGGGGTACCTTTATACCGATACCCCATCATCACATTTTCCAAGATGTAATCGTTACAGACCAGAACCTTAATAAAACATAATTCATTTGAGATTGGATTTAACGATCTGTTACTACTAGCATGATGACGGATACGAAGAAACAGAAGAAATACGCTCTGATCGGTACAGGCGGCCGCTCCTCATTCTTCTACACTGCAATAGCAACAACGTACAAGACAACCTCTGCAATTGTAGCTTTATGCGACACAAACCAAACACGGCTCGACTATGCAAACTCCCAGCTTCAGTCCCTCGGGCATGTCCAAGTGCCTACATTCAAAGCGCAAGACTTTGACCGCATGATCCAGGAGACACAGCCCGACGAAGTCATCGTCACAACCATTGACCGCACACACAACAAGTACATTGTACGCGCGCTCGAACTCGGCTGCAACGTTGTGACTGAGAAGCCCATGACCATCGATGCGCCGCGGTGCCGGGAAATCTTCGATGCCGTCGAGCGCACCGGCGGAAAAGTACGAGTAACATTCAACTACCGATACGCACCACACAACACTAAAGTATGGGAGCTACTACGGAGTGGTGCCATCGGAACCGTAACCAGCATTCATTTCGAGTGGATGCTAAATACCTCTCACGGTGCCGACTACTTCCGGCGTTGGCATCGCGATAAACGAAACTCGGGAGGACTGCTGGTGCACAAGTCTACCCACCACTTCGACCTGGTAAATTTTTGGCTGCAGTCGCGCCCTGAAACCGTATATGCGCAAGGCGACCTGCGCTTCTATGGGCGCGAGAACGCAGAAGCCAGAGGCACGACCGCGTTTTATGCCCGCGCCCACGGAAGCAAGGTAGCCGCCGCTGATCCGTTTGCGCTGCACATGGAACAGAATGAAAAGTTACGCCACATGTACCTGGATGCCGAGCACGAAGATGCATATTATCGAGATCAGTCGGTGTTTGGAGACGGCATCAGCATTGAAGATACAATGTCGTTGTTGGTACGGTACCGCAGCGGCGCAGTGCTTACATACTCGCTCACGGCGTATGCGCCGTGGGAAGGATTCCGCGTCTCGTTCAACGGGACAGGAGGGCGTCTGGAAATGGAGGTTGTAGAGAATAGCTATGTGAACAGCGGGGGTGCCCAGTCTCTCGAGGGCAGTCTCGAGTCCAGAAGTATCACGCTGAGAAAGCTATTCGAGAAGCCTGTCGACGTGGAGATTCCGGAGAGTGTCGGGGCTCATGGGGGCGGCGATGAAGTTTTGCTGGCTGATTTGTTTGGAGAAGGGGGTGCGGAGATTGATGGGGATATGAGGGCTGCGAGCCATGTTGATGGTGCGTTGAGCATACTCACTGGTATATGCGGGAACAAGAGTATGGCGACGGGACAGGTCGTTAGAGTCAGTGATGTTTTTGACCTATGATTATGGTAAGCTGGGAATACACAAATGTTTTCAATCATGGCATCTGGGGTTGGGGTGTAGAATATCGCACTGTAGCAACAAAGCTGCAAGTGCAGTAATTGCACACCCATTGAAGACGAGATGAATCAGAATTAGAATTTGTGTAATGTACATTCATGATTTTTACATTGGCGTGGAATGCATGTGTGCCTAGTGTATCTAATGCAAAAATATTTTACTGATGTAACAGAGTCTCAGCACTGACATCCGGCGCAATGAGCAGTGGATCGTTTAGATGGTCCGCACTTGATATTATGAAATAGTCTATCTTCCCCAAATATCTTTTTACAAGTTAGGTTGGAGAGGAGACTGACCCTTTGCACACAACTGAACATCACCTTGTGTAATAGAAATTTTTGTTCGTTGGATAATCATAGCCTTGGCCCATCCTGCCTACGCAAACTCCTTTCCCATTCTTTAACCGCATTTCTGAGAATTTTCCCTGTTCCACTCTTTGGGATCCTGTCAACAAACGCTATCTCTTTCAACCACTTATATCGAGCCTTCTCTTCTTGAACATGGACTTTGAGTATCTCCCCGAGGCTCACATCATCTATTCCCCGGCAATCTTCAGCTTTCACTATGTAGGCTTTGAGTGCCTCTCCAGTCCGCAAGTCTGGAATAGGTATAACGCAAACGTCCGCAACTGCAATGTGTGATAAAAGGTGAGACTCTATCTCAGAAGGCGCTACTTGGAGACCCTGATACTGTTAATATACTCGGGGTTTTAATAGACGCGAAAGAAATTGAGACCCAATGATCTGGAATGAACAGCTGGTTACGGTAGCGATTTTGATAGAATTAGGAAAATTTTCACTCACATTGACCTTTATCAGCTCCTTCAAACGATCGGTGATCCATAAGTGTTCATTCTTGCCTTGCTCACTGAGCCTGAACATAGCTTCATCCCCAGTTCTCAGCCATCCATCTTCGAGAAATGTTTCCTTACTAGCTTGATTATTTCGGAAATATCCAAGAGAAGTAATAGAAGGAGAGCGCAGATAGAGCTCTCCAGGTACGTCTAGAGCTGTTATCTCGATTCCATCAGGAGTAAGTAGTTTTGCTTCGTATCCACTAACTAAAGAGCCAGACGAGCCAGGTGAGATGTCGTTCTCAACAGTACTGGTGGCGACAACACATGACTCTGTGAGACCTAGCAGTGTCAACAGGTATGTAAACATGTGCTGTGATTACACAAACCGTAAGCCTGACGGATCTTCCACTGTGGAAAAGCTTGTTCCAGAGCCAGCGCCATCTCTTTACCTAAAGGCGCTGCAGCTGTGAAGACAGCAGATATGGTACTAAGGTCATACTTGCTGACCAGTGTAGGAGATTGCAGGATATTGAGAACAATGGGAGGAACCTTCAAACATTAGCATGTCGTTTGAAGCCTCTAGTTCCAATGCCTACCAGATAAAGCAAGCTAACTTTGAACATTTCAATAGCTTGCAAAAAGCTATTGATTTCGTATTTTGGCATGATGACACATTTATCGCCTCGATAAAAGCTAGTATGGGCAATTGCAACTAATGCGTAGATGTGGCTCAGCGGTAGGACACAAATGCCGATATCCAACTCTGTGCTGCGTGCTAAACTCAGCCTTTCTTTTCGTACACTTCGCTCAGTGGTATGCATCTGGATGATGTTGGATATCACGTTATAATGAGAAATAAGAACGCCTTTGGGTGTTCCGGATGTGCCGCTCGAGTAGCAGAGGAACGCTACTTGTGTTTTTGCTTGGCCGGGTGACCACCCAATTGGCTCTAGTGGAGGGAGGCTCTGGCCTTCGGCAGCCAATTTCGAAGCTGTTCTGAAGTAGATTGAACCATGGTTTGGTTGATCAGCCGCTACCTCCAGCAAAAAGATATGCCGACGTGGGATTCCAACAATATCTGCAGCTTTTAGTGCAGTAGATAACAGCGATGCGCAAGTAAATAGCGCTTTTGCACCCGAAGAGCGTAATTGAGAAGTGAGTTCTTCGGCGGTACTTATGGCATTGACCGGAGTGACAATGCCGTTCAGACGCTGTACCGCCCATGCCACTGGAAGAGTATCAATCTGACAAAATATATCACTTTAGCATCGGTTTTCCGATTTACATGCGAGTAGTTTCTTACACTATTAAAAGCGAAGACTCCCACTACCTTTTCCCATTGCGTTCCAGAATTGACTTCCCATTCAAGGCTCTTTAGAAGACTTTTTGCGATTGATATCGTCCGTTTGCTAACTTCAGGTACACTATATTCTCTTCCCGATATCCCACAAACTAAGGGTGGATGTGATTGAGAAATCTTATGACGCCCGAACTCTTCTTGTAACAGGAAGTCGAGAATTGGAGTCGAGTCCGGTATTGACGGCATTTGGGGAACCCATTTTGGAGGACGGAAAACCATTTTGAATAGTCTTTTGGGCGATACAACTACTAATCGAGATTTCAACCGAACAACCCCTTCTAATAAGCTCGACTACCCTTTCGCCTTGTTTAACAACCGGAGTCCGGGAGAAATATTGATTTTCTCTTGTACTGTTCAGGAAGTACAAAATTGATTTCCGGAAAGGTCTTGATTAATCAATTTTTTCGAAAAACACTCACGAAATTTGGACACTTGTGTGCATTCAGTTCAATTTTCACTCCCAACAATGATACTTTTTTACCTATTGCCACTGTTTGCAGTTGCTCAAACCCCGCCTGAATTCTCACCTTCATGCACAAAATCACTCGACGTGACCTATTCAAATAAACAGCCTGTCCGCCCAGGTCAAATTTTGCGTCAAATAGGTCTGGAATTCCCATAATCTTATAAGAAACTGCTAACGAAATGCAAACAACAGATGTCGTAACACAGCCCGTCTTGAGACCCACGCATCTTCAACCAGATACCAATTACATCGTCTTCTTGATTGACCCCGACGTTGTCCACGACTACAATGCCACAACCATTCTTCATTGGTATCAACCAAATTGTCACGTATCTCAAGCTACAGGCGATTTTGTGGTACCTACAGAGGATGGTGCCCAATATGTTGGCTCGCAACCTCCCCCGGGAGAAAAGCATCGTTACATCTTCTTGCTTTTCGAACAACCTCTGAAATATGTGTTCCCGCAATGTTTCCAAACTATATTCCCCGTCTCCGTCGCTTCCAGGTCTGGGTTTGACATTACGTATTTTATGGAAATTACTGGACTCGGAAGCCCCGTTGCGGCAAATTGGTTTTCTGTTGAGAGGGCTGGCGAGGCTAGCACGACCAGAGTCATAACCACAACAAGCCTCAATCACGCTCCATGCAAGGCAACACAAGTGGTCAGGCACTTGTGACAATGTAGATATTCACTAAACCTTCACTCCGTATTGGGTATACTATAGACTGTTGAATATCATTGTTCCTTGAGTAGACTTGTGTTGATTGAGTCACGAGCTTCGGCGAGACAGGCCCGAAGTAGGAGTTGCCAAATCGAGTTTTACCTCCAACCAGTAGTCGCCGCTATTAACTCTACCTCGGTTATCCTGGTGCATCAAATATAGCCCGGTAACTTATCACTGCGAACTCCGGAGATATCAACTGTGAAACATCACGTGGACGATTAAATAACATTATTACTGCCTGTCCGACTATTGATTGAATTTAAGCTGCGAGAAACCTTTCACACAATTACATGCATGAGATCTTGCGCTTTCGTTTTGGCCACGCAACCTATTTGTACGAAAACAGCTGAAGAAAGTACCATCTCCCTCCAACATGCCGCCATTAAGAGTCCTCTGCCTCCATGGGGCAGGGACAAATACAGAGGTATTCTGATACAAATTTCCAATGAGAATATACTAACAGAGGTTAAGATCCTCCAGTTTCAGCTTCGTAATACTTCCCTGCCTTCGAACGATCATGCTCTAACAATTCCATCAAGGACCTTTGATTCGTGAGCTTGAATCGGATCATACTGCAACTTTCCATTTTACCGAAGGGGTTGTTGACTCTGGCCCTGGGCCTAACGTTGAGAATTTTTTCGAAGGCCCATACTACTCCTACTACAACTGGCCGCGGTCATCAGAGGATGATGGCACTACTGTGGAAGAAGCATACGATCAACTTTTGGATTTTATTGAGATAGAAGGGCCTTTTGACGCAGTGATCGGCTTTTCGCATGGCGGTACCCTCGCTTGTGGGTTTCTCGCTCAGTGGTCAACGCGCCACCCATACGAAGCTCCACCATTCAAATGCGCAATTTTCTTCAACAGCTTACCTCCGTTTGTGGTTAGCGGGAGCGGAAATTTCATATTTGAGAAGCATCTAAAGGGCAAGATAACCATTCCTACACTTCATGTTGTTGGGAGAAAGGACTTTATTTACGAGCACTCTCTCAAGCTACATCAGATATGCGGGGACAAAAAAGCAACCTTGATGCTACATGACAACGGGCATGAAATCCCCAGAGAGCCAAAATTCGTGGCAAAAATCGCGGGTGCAATCAGGAGATTAAGTCGCGAAATTATGTTCCAATAGCAGAACCTAAGATAGAGCAGGAATGGTAGTTCGGCAGTTCTAGAGTATCAATTTTACAATAGCTCCTTCATTTTATGTCATGTTCGAATGCCATTCATCGTATTCTAGCATTACTCTCATAATTCGACAAATGTTTTCATTACGAGATTTCCTTCCCTAGTACATTGATGGCAAATGTAACTCATTTGTCATAATCTTGCGTCCAGCCATATGCCCAGATACGAGGAGGTTGTGAAATCCTTTTTTACAGGATTTTTTCTTCCATGATAAAAATAGCTCATAACTCGATCCACGTAAAATTTGTGAGCAGAGCATACTATTTCAAAATCACGAACGTGTTAGGTACCGTCTTGGTGGTAGGAGTGAGAGAAATGCTGAATTCATGCCGGCGGTTTATGATGTGCCGGGAATTAGTTTCTAGAAATTACCATTCCACTATACATTTGATTGCGTGAACAGAGTTTCTACCGTAGATAATTAACCAAAAAATCTCAAGCTAATGATTATCTATTGAAGCAAAAGGCTAACTTGATACTTTGATCAGAATCAAGGAATTTAACGCGACATCGTCCAAAGTAGCGAGTCTCAGGGCCTAAGAAGCTCCTAAATTGTGGATGCTGCAAAGCAGCAAGAATATTTCAGATGCCAAGCTAATATTGTGCTAATATCTCCTGAGACTCTGTACATAGTCAATTGCCTTCGTAGTAGAGTAGCGCAAAGTTTTTTTGTTGTCTCCACACGTCATTTGAGAGAAGGAGTCCGGTGTCCGGGCTATTCGGCGAACTAAACTCCTTCACATCAATGTCGTACATGTTTGCCACAAATATTGTCTGCACTATCGATTCACGATTTGTATATGACGCTTACATTAGTTGTTTTGCCTTTGATTCAAATTAACAAGCCCTTTCAATTCTATCCCTGAATCGAGGTCTCCAAGATGTCTAACGGCTTCCTTTTCGTGAGAGACTCCCGCACTACTCAAGAATATAGAGTCCCAATACAGCGAAATGCAATCCTTGCGACGGCATTCAAAGATATCAAGGCCCCTTCGTCTAGCGGGAATAGAGCAGACAAATTAGACAGCGGTTTGAGAGTGCATGACCCCGGGCTCCTGAATACGACAGTGGTGGAAACAGGTGTGAGTTTTGCGTAATACAAATTTCCACACCCCTCTCATCATCCAGGTGCTAAGAGGATCTAGAGATGGAGAAAGAGATCTACTTCTTTTCAGAGGTTACAGTCTAGAACAACTATGGCAAAGTGACTATGAAGATATGTTACATTTGCTGGTGTGGGCAAAATACCCAACACCTGTGCAGAAGGAATCTTTACGCAGAGCATTGATAGCGGCTATGCTAGAGGTCCCCAAAACCGTTTTCGAAGTAGTGTCGGCCTTCCCGTAAGTATTGAGCATGTTGTTTCCCATAATGGAGAAACTAATATGTTCAAAGGTCGGCGTCCCCTCCCATGCCGATGGTCGTGGCTGGTTTGGCGGCGTATCTTGGAAGTAATCCCGATATGATTCCAGCGTCAAACGGCGGAAACATCTACCAAGGTGACATCGAAAAAACTGACAAAGCAATTGTCAAGACGATCGCTGCATACGCAGTTGTCGTAGGGATGGCGGCCTGTCATCGGAAAGGAATTGAGTTCACAGCTCCTTTGTTGGATTACAATTTCATCGAAAACCTGTTCCACATGTCCGGCATGGTTGACGATCTAACTGGGCGACCAGATGCGATGAAAGTGTCATGCTTTCGGCGGTTTGCAGCATTGAATATGGACCACGGGATGGCATTGGCTGTATTCTCCACAATGGTCACAGCATCGTCACTCACAGATCCCATATCTTGTCTTGTTGCTTCATTAGCAGCGGCATATGGTCCTCTACATTTCGGTGCGACTGAGGCTGCGCATCTCAACCTTCGTAGTATCGGAGACAAATCAAAAGTCCCCGAATTTATCTCGGAGGTGAAGCAAGGCAAGCGAAAACTATTTGGATATGGACACCGCACTTACAAAGGCACCGATCCACGTGTAAGGCCTATAAAGGAGCTCATTGAAGATTCGGGTGCAAACTCAGATCCGTTGATTGAGATTGCAAGGGAAGTTGAAAGACTCGCTTCTAACGACGACTATTTCACATCAAGAGGCCTTCATCCGAATGCTGATTTCTATGGGAATTTTGTTTTCACTGCCGTGTAAGTTGCCCGACGATTTATGTAATAGTCCGCTAACATTACTTTCAAGTGGTTTTCAGTCCGATTTCATTCCTATAGCTATGATTTCTCAACGGCTCATTGGAATAATGGCGCACTGGCGTGAGGCGATGGGTGAGTCTAGCGATACTTAGAAGTGCCAATTTCTAACATAGACAGTGCGGGGAATAAAACTTTTTCGTCCGTCGCATATCTACACGGGGGACACTGAGCCAATCTATACTGCCAGTGCAAAGCTATAACATACGAATTGACTGCGCGAGAACGATCTTTTTGATACGGGGAAGGCATGATACACAGGATGATTTCGGTGGAATCGATGTGAGGAGCTAATCAACCCGGGATCAGAAAGATCCCCGGATATATCTAGCGAATCCACATCACGCAACAGCATTAATAATAGCACTAGATAGTTTTGATGCAAATATACCGGAGAATCATTCGATCTGCATTTGAGAATATTTATACAAATGTTCTTTCCGGTTGTACCCCCGCACATCTTCCTCTTGCGTTGAAATTCTTTTCAAGTGATTTTACAATGTCATCGACACCTTATGATCAGGTCATCATTGATATCAAGAATTACGTATTTCATTATCACATTATTGATGAGGATGCCTTCATTTGCGCGCGGATGGCGCTCCTCGATGCCATGGGATGTGCTATCGAAACGATCTCTTCGAGTGACGAGTGTGGCAAATTACTAGGGCCAATTGACCCAACTACAGTAAATCCAAATGGTTTTAGGTTGCCTGGTACTTCATATTTACTTGACCCACTGAAAGGCGCTTTCGACATGGCAACAATCATTCGATATTTGGATCATAACGATGCGATCGCGGGTGCGGATTGGGGCCACCCTTCTGGTGAGGACAATACTTCCAGGTTCATTCTCGCATACTTACAGTCACTCAGATAATCTAGGGGCTATTCTGGCCGTGGCAGATTGGCAGAGCCATCGCATTGCAAAGGGAGATGTCGTCCATACTGGTCCCAAATTAACGATGCGCACACTTCTTATAGCCATGATCAAGGCGTATGAAATCCAAGGATGCTTTCTTTTAAGAAATGCTTTCAACAAACAGGGATTAGACCACGTCATTCTCGTCAAGTTAGCATCTACTGCCGTGGTTGCGTGGCTTCTTGGCCTCACTGAAGAAGAAACAATGGCTGCAATATCCCATGTATGGATGGATGGCCATCCTCTCCGCACTTACCGCCATGGAACAAACACTATTCCTCGTAAGGGCTGGGCTGCTGGAGATGCTTGTATGAGGGCGGTGCAGCTTGCCCTTTTTGCGCAAGCAGGCCAGCCCGGATCTAAGACGGTACTGACTGAACCGAGATGGGGGTTCTATGATACTCTGTTCGAAGGCCAGCCGTTCCAATTTCCCAAACCATACAATAGCTGGACCATAAAAAATACAATCTTCAAAGTCATGCCGGTGGAGGGTCATGGGATTGCAGCTGTACAAGCAGCTCTGCAACACAGTAACCTCATGCGAGCCCGAGGCCTTTGCCCGGATAAGCACATCAAGAGAGTTGATATACGAACAACAGCCGCAGCTATCCTCATTATTGACAAACAAGGGTATTTGCATAACGCTGCTGATAGGGACCATTGCATGCAATACATGGTTGCTTTGGCTTTGCTCAAAGGTGCAGTTCCAGAGAGTAACGATTACAAGAACGACAGCCCTTGGGCGTGTGACGAACGGCTTTCAGAGCTCCGATCCCACATCCATCTTACTGAGGACAAAAAACTCACCCAAGACTACTTAGATCTGAATAAGAAAAGTCTTGCATCAGGAGTAACCATCACCTTTTCTGACGACACCATTTCTGAAGAAATTTTTGTCGAGTTTCCTGTTGGCCATGTCCGAAGTGCCGACACAACGAAGATGGTTCAAGAGAAGTTTAAAAAGAATATGAAGCTAAAATTCTCTACGCAGGAGATAGAGCGAGTGAAAATGGCTGTGGAAATACCCGACATCATGATTTCAGACTTCTTGGGTCTTTTCGCTCAAGGTCGACACAATGAGCAGAAATTATAATGCGGAACGAAGAGTGGGGGGTTTGAACGGCTGAATGTGAAGTCTGCATATACTTTTGAAATAGGGGAATTTGTCTTTTGCATTAGAAATTGAATTTGGGGCCCTTTCTACGTTGCTTCTCTTGAACATCACTCTTGTTTGGCTCGCACAGTATGTCCTTGCCGACAACAGTAGACAATTTTTCTCTATTGATTTGATTACTGGGAGACTCCAATCATGGTTTTCAAACAGCTTTTAAGAATGGACGATGTCCGGATTGAATTTTTTATCCCTCATGCATAATGGTCCGGAGCTAGTAATTAACCTAGCTTTACTGATTTGTGAAATCCTATAATTAGATTTGGAACATTTCACGATTGAAAAAATAGCTATTTTACATCCACACGCTTGTTGATAACAATCTACACATATTCCAAAGCCTTTAAGACGCTAAAAGCGGGCTATTGTTCAAAGCATCGTTATGGCAGCTAATCCTGACACCGAAGGGCAAGCGACTGAGACTACTTCTCTCCTCAGCCGAAAGTCCACACAGGCGCGCTACTCCGTGTTTACCACTACTCAAAAACGAATCTTGATCTCCACAGCCTCACTGGCCTCGACACTCTCGCCCTTATCAGCAAATATCTATTACCCAGTGCTGAATTCTATGGCAAAAGATCTCCACGTCAGCCACGCAATGATGAACTTCACTATCATGGGCTATATGGTACGTAATTTCCATGGCAATGATTCACATTTCAGAACTAATTTCTAAAATCAAGCTGTTACAAGCTTTTGCGCCGACAATCGCTGGTTCCATCGCTGATGTCGTTGGCCGGCGACCTGTCTACATCTTTTGCTTCCTCATCTACATCGCTTCTGATGTAGCTCTTGCTCTGCAGAGAACTTTCCCTGCTCTTGTTATTCTTCGAGCTGTTCAAAGTTCCGGTAGCAGCCCAATGGTCGCACTTGCGAGTGCTGTTGCGGCAGATATAGTAACTTCTGCTGAAAGAGGCATGTACCTTGGGATCGCATCACTTGGCTCTGCGCTCGCTCCTTCCCTCGGCCCAATCATAGGTGGAATACTTAGCCATTGGTTCGGTTGGCCATCTATATTCTGGTTTCTAGCAATTGTGGCTACGTTTTTCTTTGTGCCATTCTTGCTATTCTTTCCAGAAACTTGCAGAACAATCGTCAAAGATGGATCCGTACAGCCGCTGGGGTTCAATCAAACAGTATATCAATGGATGAAACAAAAGTCGAAACAGCGTAATGGAGAAGAAGAATCAGAAGGAGATTTGACGTACTCAGGAAAAACACGCATCAGTCTACCCGATCCTCTTGTCACTCTTCGAGTCGTGTTTCAGTTCCCTACGGGAATTGTCATGCTGGGTAATGGCATTCTTTTCGCGAGCTACTATGCTGTCATGTCTAGTGTTCCGTCACAGTTCGAAATCTTATATGGATTCAATGACCTCCAAATCGGTTTAGCCTTTATACCCGCAGGATTAGGAACCCTATTCAGTGCTTTCACAAACGGTATAATTGTCGACTGGAACTACCGACGCGTAGAAGCCGCCCTGAAAGAGAGATCTGATCACGAGCGGAGTACAAAAGAGAATTTTCCTTTCGAAAAGACACGGCTGCACATAGCTTTGCCTATGATGGTAAGAAACCTTAGCTACTTGCCTTGCACTCTATTAGTAACACGAGAAAGATCTTAGCAGCTATATCGATCGGTATTTACGGTTGGGTAATTTTTTTCCGCAGCCCAATCTGGGCTCCTTTGGCATTGCTGTTTCTTATTGCCTTTTCAGTCACTGGGGCCTACAACGTCATGAACATTTTGGTCGTCGATCTCAATTATTCGAGGCCTGCGACGGCTATGGCGGCTAATAACTTGGTAAGGTGTACACTTGGGGCAGCTGCCACAGTTCTCATTCACCCTTTGCTCAACTGGGTCGGCAGAGGATGGAGTTTTACCTGTATTGCTGGGGCTATTATAGCAGCCACTCCACTACTCCTAGTCTCCTACAGATGGGGACTTGCATGGAGAGCATCTTCAAATAAATGAAGTGTCTGGCTTGTGCTGCACGATCTTGGTGTGAGCTCAGCAATGCATTCTCATATGGATTGGATATTTTGGCACCCCTCATGAAGCTAAACATTGGAATAACTCTTACAAAACTCTGTAAATTCTTCTAGATAATTCACATTCGTTTCATTGAAATTGCATGGTATTTTTAATTGATCTCGATAGTAATGGGACTTTGACAGTGTTCGGTTTTCTAGGTCCTTTAATCTCTCCGGAGATTTTAGATACTGGGTGCCTTTTGCCAATGCTGACATAAGCTTGTCTTAGCATCAGTGGGCAAAGGCTTACTCTGCTGGATTTAATTACCATTTTGACTTTATCTAATTAACAAAGGAACATTTCTCGGAGCTACTCACAGTCTAGCTGTAGACCCATGCATGTGCGAGACCACCTAGTGTGCATGCAGCAGTGTCCAACATATCTGCAATCCCATTCATGATACATTGCAACGCTTCGCCACTATCTACACATTAAGAATTGATCACTTCGCCCTCCTTATCTTTCTCTCTGACATGCGTCCTTTTGCCTTACCGCCACTTTGTGTCCTGCTTGCTGCCACCTTACGATCGACAGCAGCATCACCGCCAATCGCATCACAGGACGGATTCTTTTTTGGCAATCCATCTTTGGACTGTGAATTTGTGTCGCAGCCTCGAATCTACTCTATTTTTTCTTCCCTTGAGACCGACGTTACCAACCTAATCAATCACATTGCACCAGATGTTGATTTTACTGTAGTTGGCCATCAGCCTTTAGCAGGACACTATCATGACTTGAAGCACTTCTATGTTAACGCGCTATACCGACTCAACAACTGCATAAGGCTAAAGTATCCTGATGAGTACCGTATCGAGCTTCAGTACATCACGGGTGGTTGCGACCAAAAGTGGAGTGTTCAGGAGGTTTTGTTTAGTGGACGGGCAAATAATGGTATGCAATTCTGATGGAGTATCCAAATCTGAAGCTCATTTCAACTAGGCGAGAACTGGTCGATGGTGAACGTCTGGATCACTCGGTGGGAACATGATAAAATGGTCGAGATTCGAACTTATGTCGACGCAGCGCGGGTAACAGAACTACTTCACGATAATGAAGTGTGGTCCAACTCATCGACGCATTCAGACCATACTACGTTTCTTCCGGGACCACGAGGAATGCCCCAAACATCGGCGCTAGAGTCTCTTCTAGCGAAAATAGGATATTAGTCACATGCTAGTACAAGGAGCACAATGCAGCACCACCCAGCACCAGCACAGAGCATTTTAAACGTCTGGCAAGCATGTGGGACAATTTGACAGCAGTTAATAAAGCTTTTTGATCACATATTGCTTAACCCTACTCGTTGACTGGTTATAACTACGCTTACGAAAATGAAGTTACTATAATAAACATGCGCAGATTCTAATCATACGTACAGGCCCAGTGTATTTGAATGATAAATCTAGGACTAACGTGGTTCACAAGCGAGCTGATCACCCAAGCGAGCTAATCACGCCCCACCAGCGTGTCGACGTCGACACGTT